TTATGCATTCATTCTTAACACCACAGTACAATGCACTTACTAACAAATGCCTCAAAAATACAAATCTGTTTAACAATGGAATGAGTAAAGTTTAGTTTTGGAGGAAAATGGAAGTCATATTTACCGATCAGCTGAGTTGCCAACAATTACCAACAATTTGCTACCTGTTCAGAAACTTAACTAGATCACATGCTCTAGATTCCTTTAGGCATTCATTCTTATTACCACAGTATATCCTTTGACTTTTATTCTTGAATCATGCACTTACTAACAAATGCCTCAAAAATACAAATCTGTTTAACAATGGAATGAGTAAAGTTTAGTTTTGGAGGAAAATGGAAGTCATATTTACCGATCAGCTGAGTTGCCAACAATTACCAACAATTAGACAACCACATGGCAGATATCCTTTGACTTTTATTCTTGAATCGAATAGGGGTTTGGACTGGATTACCTTATAGGCTCCTTCCAACTTCAACAATTGTATGATTCTATGATTACTAGTTCTTCTTCCTTTTAGTTCTGAATTACTATATGTCATCTGATCCACACATGGCCACTGAGCATGTAGCTACTTAGTGCTTGATGCTATGTGGCTTGTCTGATTTTGCTCTTCTTAAAAGGTGCTGGTGGAGCTCACTGCTCTTTTGATCACTTCCAAAAAATCATGTTTAGGAGTTGTAAACAGTGGATGCTTTTATTTTAAGCTAATAAAACAATCTACTCACCATGAGCTAAAGACTTCTGTTACCTGAAGCTGTACCCCGATAGTTGTATGAATCAATGTAAGTACGTTTGAGTTAACTATGGACAAAAAATCTGGTTCAATCAAAGCCACCCCAGTTCTGTGTTTTTTATAATTACTATGACTGATTAACCTTGTATGAAGTCTTGTTGTTGTTGTTTAGTCATTAAGTCATGTCCGACTCTTCATGACCCCATGGACCAGAGCACGCCAGGCCCTCCTGTCTTCCACTGCCTCCCGGAGTTGGGTCAAATTCATGTTGGTAGCTTCAATGACACTGTCCAACCATTTCATCCTCTGTCATCCCCTTCTCCTCTTGCCTTCACACTTTCCCAACATCAGAGTCTTTTCCAGGGAGTCTTCTCTTCTCATGAGATGGCCAAAGTACTGGAGCCTCACCTTCAGGATCTGTCCTTCCAGTGAGCACTCAGGGTTGATTTCCTTCAGAATAGATAGGTTGATCTCCTTGCAGTCCAGGGCACTCTCAAGAGTCTCATCCAGCACCACAATTCAAAAGCATCAATTCTTCTGCGGTTGGTTCCACCAATGCCACTTCCGGTTCCGTGGCACGCCACCCGCTGTTTTTTCCCCCCAATTTGGGCATGCGAGCCCAAAAAAGTTCATCACCACTGGTATAGAACTTCTTCATCTTTGGCTGCACAGAACATAATCAATCTGATTTTGGTATTGCCCATCTGGTAATTTCCATGTGTAGAGTCGCCTCTTGTGTTGTTGGAAAAGAGTGTTTGTGATGACCAGCTTGTTCTCTCGACAAAACTCTATTACCCTTTGCCCTGCTTCGTTTTGAACTCCAAGGCCAAACTTACCTGTTGTTCCTTCTATCTCTTGACTTCTTACTTTAGCATTCCAGTCCCCTATAATGAGTTTAGGTTTTGTTAAATACCTAAAAGTTTAGGTATTGTTAAATACTTTATGAAGTTGTCCACACATGCATATCTGTCTTTTGATGGACTGCAACATCGAAAGTTGTTAAATACCTAAAAGTTTAGGTATTGTATGCATATTTGTCTTTTGATGGACTGCAACATCAAAATATGGCTTTCATCTTTTGAATGGGCAATCAGAGATCAAACATTCTGCAGAAAACTCTGATACCACTTCACATATCTTGAACAGTGTGCTTTTCATTGGAGTCAGCTAACGCATTTGATGGGCAGCAACAACAAGTGATGGCTTCAATGTGTGAAAGGGCAATCAGAGATCAAATATCCTATGGATATTTTATAGCATCTCACATCACTTACACATTGTGCTCCTTCCAGTAGTCAACTCACATACTAAACCACAAATACTCAAGTGTTGAACAAACACAACCTAAGGAAGGCTTGGTAAGGGTAAAACCAGTGGCTTTTTTGGCACCTTATTGAGGGAGAAGGGAAAAGAAAGGATTAAAAAAAAACCAAAACAGTCTGTCCTGCTCATTTCTAAGGAAACTCATGATGGGATACGACCTAAAAGCCAGCTAACATAATACAAGACTCAGGGCTGTTCCATGCGGGAGAATTTGGAGCATCTGGTTCAAGATTAAAAGGTCCATATCCTCAGTGTAACCTATTTTATTTCACACTTGAGCGAGCCTTCTGTTCACACTGGAGATGTGAAGACATGTATGTGCCATAATTTGATTTAAACCAAACTGTACCCAAAGTGATCCAAATAGCAATCTGTATCCCCATCTATACAGGCTCTGACATTGTAAACATGTCATACCCTGTACGTAATATATATGGAGGAAATTGGTTATTACTGTATAATGTTTAGCATGTGTATACTACACACATACACTGTGGGGAGGTGGTGGCCTACAAATACATTTCTCCTTCTCATACAGCATAGGATTCAATAATGGATACAGGCAGTGAATAGTTGATACTGTATGTCTATTAATATTGTCATACCTGTATAATAGCAGAGTAGTTCTACAGCAATGCTGCAGCTGTCTGACAGAACAAGAAATCTCTTTGATCCTCTAGAGCAGTGGTGTTGAACTGTGGCCCTCCAGATGTTCTTGGACTTCAATTCCCAGAAGCCTTCACCACCACCTCTGCTGGCCAAGATTTCTGGGAGTTGAAGGCCAAGAACATCTGGAGGCCCAAGGTTGGGGACCATGGCTCTAGAGCAGTGGTGTTGAACTGTGACCCTCCAGATGTTCTTGGCCTTCAACTCCCAGAAATCCTGGCCAGCAGAGGTGGTGGTGAAGGCTTCTGGGAGTTGTCGTCTAAGAACATCTGGAAGCCCAAGGTTGAGGGCCACTGCTCTAGAGAGAGGAAGAAGAAATGGCATTCACCACTGCTCTGGTTTGTGTATTCACTAATTCCCTCCCTTGCAATCGGAGGGACACAGGAGAACAATCCCAGGACCAATCTAAGAGTTCCCTCATGTTGTAGGCATCATCTAGAAGAGTATTGTATCTTTTGGTTCTAAGGCCTCTGCTAGTCCATCCAAACCACAACTTTAATATTCTCAATTTTCATCTCTCTTGATGCTAAAACTCTGAGATGAAGATCATAAATGTTTTCTTGGGGTCAAGGAAGGAGAAACTGCTGTCTCTCCAACCTTCATAGCATCCACAGAAACCCAAGAAAAGCAACAGGTTCCTGATTCTTTACCCTGCAAATCTCCACCAATGAGATATTCCCCTAAACCAGTGGTTCTCAACTTTGGGTAACCCAGTTGTTCTCGGATTGCAACTCCCAGGAGCCTTCACCACCAGCTGTGCTGGCTGGCATTTGTGGGAACTGCAGTCCAAGAACACCTGGGTTATCCAAGGTTGGGAACCACTGCCTTAAAGGGAGGTTGAGTAGCAGATCTCTAGATAGGCAGGAACTGCTTCTCCTAGTAGCTTGTAGGTTTCTACAATGATTGCAACAAACTTCATCATAGTGGAGTCAGATGCTTTCTGAGTCTGACATAGTAAACACAGGCAGAAGGTGGGAAAATATATCTGATACCGTTAAGTACCTTTTAATGGTCAAAATAACAACTAAAGACCCTCCATACAAAAATAGTATGCCAAATGTCTGCATAATCAGGATTTATACCGTCTATAATGCCAGAATATGTTATAAGTATATGACTGATGTATGAATATAGCTATGAAATGAATGTATTTAGATTTATGTATGTATGTATGTATGTATGTATGTATGTATGTATGTATCCATGTATGTATGTATGTATGTATGTATTTTATGTGTGTGTGTGTGTGTGTGTGTGTGTGTGTGTGTGTGTGTGTGTGTGTGTGTGTGTGTGTGTGTGTGTACAGTTGCAGCAAAAGATTGTGGATTTTTTTTAAGATTAAAGTATGTGTACTACAGTACTTTATATCCAGCATACTATTAAATCATTTGTTATAAGCAGGATAAGCCTAAGGCATTTCATAGCTTCAAACTACAGTATAAGCCAAGCAATACGTTATGATTCCCCTGCCTAAGGTATATCCCACCCAAGGCCAACACAGGTATTTTAGCATCCGAGGCATAAAATTTTACAAATTCCTTTTCTGCTGCATAAGATAGATAGAATAATGATTTGCTGGCTTTTCATGCGATCAAAATTCTGTTATCTGAATCATCCACCCATCTCATTCTGCCTAATAGAAAGGCCTGTGCTGCTGTCAACAAAGGCCTATGCTGAGTCAATAAAAAAATGACCACAAGAAAACTTCCTGGAAGAGTGTGCCTTAAGTTTAATGGTTGGTTGTGTGTGAGTGTGGGGGTGGCATTGGGAGTTGCAGCCTGTAGTCTGAATAAGAGGGGATCTCGCAGCCAAAATTTAGAAAGAGCCCCCTTTCTCTGCTCAGACCCTGCTTTCTGCTACAGGGACCAAATGATTGTGGATAGGTCTTCTATGTTAAAGCCACTACAGGAGACGGATGATGAAAGTTCTGGAAATAGAGAAGAATTTGACTTTTCCTTTTCTGAAACAGGATCACGATGCAACAGTATTAGGGAGAGAACAAAACTCTGGGACTGCTTGTTATCTGTGTTTTGGAATGGACATCAAACATTTGCAGGCCACCGTGCCCTGTGCAAAGATGCCCGGGGCTCTGCATGCCAGCCCCATGTGTTGTTATTCATGTTTCCCTCGTTTTGGCTTGCACGCCTCTCTTTTCTCATTGCTGCTTCTGCGACGGGTATCCATGGTTCTGAGATCACACACAGGGATGGGTTAAAGTAGTAGAAGGCTGTTGTATTCTAGCAGAGTTACTGACTTTTCAGCTACACAGTGAACAGCAATCAGAGAACAGGGAAAACAAGCAATTTGAGAGGGAGGGGGAGAGAGAGAGAGAGACGGAGAAAAGAGGAAGAATGAGATCCTGGAAACACTGAATTAAACAGCAGGAGTGTAAAACAGAAGGAGGGGAAAAAAGAGGTATTCTAGCTAGAAAAGTAGTATTTCAAGACCCCTTGATTGACCTGTAAATCTAAGGATGAGAAGTCTTTACAACACAATGTATTAAAATCAGAAAAGTACAGAATGAGAGAAGGAGCAAAGAAGGCGGCGAATGAAAGTTGAATCAAGACCCAAAGCAGGAGGAACTGTGAGAAACCTGAGCAGAAAACTGAACTCCTTGGAAAAAAGGGAAAAGAGATGGACCAGGAGAGGGAACAAATTCAGAGGTACAACCTCACAAATTCAGGAAATTTAACTTGGATAAGGCACAGGAAATTTTCTCTCTTTTCTTTCCCTTGAAAACTGGATTTGCAGGACTCAGGTGTGAATAAGCTGACCGGATACCAGGTAAGAGATATTAGTTGTTCATTATGCACAATGTGTTTGTATTGGTGGAACGAATGCATTTCTAATGCCCAATAAGCCACTGTAAATAGGGAAGTGTCTCTGTGTGTATTCATGTCAGACAATACCGGAACCAACTCAAGTTTACTTTTTTGCACTGAAACCCCAAGGAAAATCTACAACAAAACCTTCTCTTGTGAACTCTGATCCACAAAACCGTACGCTATTATTTCAAATCTGTTAGGATTTAAGATGCCGCAAGACATGTCATTGTTTTTACTTGTTCAGACTCAGGAACATTTGCTTGCCTTACTTTGTCAGGTTCTCTCAGTCACAGTTTGATTTTAGAACATGTTTTTAATACAGCTTTTAATTTTTCTTCCAGTTGCTCTTGGCAGCTTTTCCTTAGCACAGCTTTTAATTGTGCAGTTTTCAAAGTAATTATTTGGAAATGATTGGAGCATGATGTTCCTGGGAGAGGTGTTTTATAGGGAATTGCTCACAGGACTCTGGAAGAATGGGGCAATAGCATTTTTTCCATCTTTCTCTCTCTTTGCTTTTGACACCATACTATTCCATGCTCTTCCTTATAATCAGACAGCCACTGTTTATACTGTATTGATGCCGCTTGTCTGTTTGTTCTGCCATGCCAAGATCATCCACTGATTCAATGGTGAGTTGATCATAATGACAGCAGATGTGAATGTTCAGATAGTATATGGTCTATAGAAAATAACTTCACACTCCAGCATTTATTTAAAGAAGATGAAACCATATCAGATGTTGGGAGAGGGGAGCCGAGAAGACATCTGGTATGTATCTATGCACATGGACTGCTTATTTAATCAGAAGGAGGGATTTTGAATGCCTGGCATCCTTTCATACACAAGGTGTAAAAGTTTTTATTATTTATGAAAAATATTTTAAAACTGCTTTTCATCTTTGTAAGATTCCCGTGTGCTGTACAAAAGCAGGGTCAGTAACTGTCATAGAAGTATATAATTTTTAAAAAACTAGTATAATAAAATGCAGAAAAAGCAGTGGATCTAGTTAAACAAAATGAATGTATCAACTATTTAAAATATCTGGACTAGTGAGATGTGCTTACTTTTCATTAAAATGATTGCACGGTCAGGAACAGCCACTCCTCCAAAGTACTGAAATATGTGACTGTAGTAGAAGGAACACCTCTCTCCCCAAATTTGAGGCAGGACCCCCTCATACACATACACTTTGGCCACAAGTCACCCTGACAATCTTAAGACATAAATCTGATATACGGTAGATAGAGGCAGTCCTTCAGCTATCTGGGTCTGAAGCCACATTTAGCTTCAAAAGCAGGTACCAGAATTCAGTGGTGTTCCCTGTGTGGTGTATTAGACAGAGTGAGAGACTAGGACTCTGGAGAAGAGATTCTGAATTCCCGTTGGATCATGGAAACTCACTGAGGGAGTGGAAGTGGTAAAACCATGCCTTAAATATCTCACCTTGAAAGCCCTATTAGAGTTGCTATAAGGTGGTTCCAACTTGAAGGCACAGTACACACACACACACACACACACACACACACACAGAGAGAGAGAGAGAGAGAGAGAGAGAGAGAGAAAATTGTGATAGTGTAATTACACATACACACAGAGAGAATTGTGATAGTGTAATTCCACAAGACTGTGCCAGATATAATTTGGTTGCCACATTCTACACCAGTAGAAACCTCCAAATCACTTTTAAGGCAGCGCCATGTATGTATACTTGGAAGACAACTAGCACATAAATTGCCATGTTGTTCAGGTTACTGCTAAGTCATAAGACTCTCCTAGTCACCAGGGCTGTTGGAGTTCAAGTGACGGATCAGGGAGAAGTTCCTAGCTACATCCCCATTCTTTCCAGAGAGACTGCAAGGGTAGGTGGAACATCTAGTTCCCAGAAGATGCTCACAGAGTTTCCACCTTTTCTGAACTCATCTTCAGTGTACTGGCTCTTATCAAGCCCTCTATGAATCCAGAAACTTGTTCTAATCTGCACAGCCTCACCTGGCCAAATTGAAAAGAAGAAGTGGATATTATAAGTATACGACTGATATCTCGGTCCAGATTCCCTGTTGACTTCATACAACACCTTCATATACTGTAGATATTTTAAAATATTCAGGATAAGATAAGTCCCTGCTGGTTCCACAAGCGCAAAGGCAATGCTACTTCTTGATTTTTCAGAAACTGACCCTACAGGGAAGGGCAGAACCACCATATCACTGTGTCTCTGATGCACAGTCTTCATAGATGGCCTAGCACAATATTGCGGTGAATGGTATAAAGATCTGCAAAGAGTTTAAGAAGTAGTCCCTGCATTACACTCTCCTCATTTTAGTTCCCCAAAATGTAATCCATCAAAGTGTTCAAGGTAATTTCAATATCAAACCCAAGATCAAAGCTGGATTGATTTGAGCATAGATAATCTTATTTCCTCTTAAATCCATGTGGAATTAAATTTCCAAGGAGTCAGTTATAGTCCACTGAAGCAAAAAAAAACACAAAGAATCTTGTAGCACCTGAGAGATTTAAATTTTATTTTATCTAAGACACTGAAGAAATGGGCTACAGTCCAATCTTACAGGCTGAAAATACAAAGAACCACATCTGCCCACATCTGGTTTAGAACCTCAGTTTATAGGACAACACTGCAGGAATCTAAAGGTAGAGATATCTGCCCATAAAACAAATTTATGTTTTATTTTATAATGGCAAATAATTAGAGCTATCAATTAGCATGTCTGGTAGTAAAATTCTAGTTAGATATTAGGGGTGATGTGTATATATAGAGTGTTAGACTGAAAGACAGCCTCACAGACTGCAACCATTTAATATGGAATTATTGATCACAAAGTTCCAGTCGCTAGCCGGTAAAGCCTTCGGGATATGTCATAGGGCCAAATGCGCACTTTGATAGTAACACAACAATGACACTGCAATTATTTATGGAAGATGAGAGGGAATTTGGCCTAAAGAGGAATTGAGTTGGTGGTGCATTGTAAGCAAATCTATCTCCATTTAGCTCCCTTGTGCATGACACCATGATAAATATTGTGGAGTGAGACAAAGTTCATGGTGTGATGTCTGGCAGAAAATAATCTAGCCTGTACAGGATGAGGATTTGATAATATGAAATAGCAAGGTGGAGATGAAGGAAATGTGTACAGTATTATTAAAAAAGGAACATAGTACATGAAAGTCGGAGGACTAGTTAACTTTTGAGCTGTCTCTTGAAATTCCATTGATGAAGTTTTGACTATGTAACTCAGAATGGGTTGTATTGTTGCCACAGCAAATTGGGTACCAGTCCATGGGAAGAGCTTTTATTGGGTATTAAAGACAGAATCAGGTGCCAGCAGTTAAATCCATGCCTTATGTGAGATCACAGTGAACCCTATTATTTTTCTCACTGTCTCCATGTACAAGTCTTGGGTTCTAACTGACATTAACAGTGGCAGGGTTCAGCTTCTCCCACCGAGCAATGTTAAACTTTAAATGGTAGCTACACTATTGTTGCTACGTACTTGGTAGTAATTAAATGGCAGAGTAATTTTTTTTACTGAGGCCTGCTGTCTTTCATGGCTCATGACTAACCAGGAAAAATTGGAGGATTTGAATTGCATTCTGAAGATCTGCAGATTAGAGAAGGGCAGGATAACAATGGGATTTTTAAGGTCAAGATTGTTCTCTAGTGGGGATAGGGGACCATATCCACCCACCACTTCAGTTTCAGATCGCATGTGGGTATTCCCCAGAATTAACTACTGTTCTGAGGAACTTGCTGGTTGTACATGGTAACTATTTTAAGCAATTAAATAGCTCCTAAGTATACATATCAAAGGCATGAAACCATTTGCTGTAAAAAAATTAAAACCAAGGGAGATTGTTTGACACATTGCTATGGTAATTATGAAACTTTAAAAATCCCAAACATTCTTTGGGATATTCTTTGGGATAACAAATATTCTTCAACATTTCCAATCTGCTTGTTGCAGTTTGATCTGGAAAATAAAAAAACACCTCAGAGGTCCTACTCTTGCACTTCATTGAGAATGGCTGTACTTTTCCCTGTGAATTGAAATCTAAATGGCATCTTAGCTTACAATTTATTGACGGGTAGAGTTCTTGTTCCCTTGAGATCTGCCAAAGCGAGAAGGGCTGCTTCCGCGATGCAGTCCGGGATCTGTTTCTTGAGGGGTGAAATGGCAGCCATTTAATCACTGTATGCTTTATATAGCAGAGGTTCACCCAAGTGAGAATTAGGTGCCGGATGAGGATTTGAAAGGTCTTCTCTGTGGTACCTCCAGAAGGGGTGAGTCATCAAGCATGCGACCTACTGCATATAGCTTCTGACAATAGTAACAATGATAGAGGAGGGAAAAAATTTACAGAGTAATGCTGGTGGAGATGGAAGAAAGAGGGGTCATGTGAAGGGAAAGAGATGGGGTGAACATAAGAGAGAATGGGAGATCATGAAAACTATGGAAAGGAGATCGTTTGACCTCTCTGTTATTGTCCCTGTCTTTTTCTTCCTTTCTCTTGCCATCTCTCTTCTCTGTTTTTCAGTACTGAAACCTGTGCCTGCAATCTCTTGTTTCTTCTCACTGGCACAGACCCCAAAACCCACAACATTAAATCTCTTGTGTCATTTTGGTGGTGCTACAGGACAGTCTAATTTTGTAATTAGTTAATGCAAGAACACACCCCAGGCCCTGTGTATGGGACAGCTTAAAGAGAGACAATATATAGACAGTAAAAAGAATAAAAGAAGGCATTGATTTGCATGCATTAATTATATGTATAAATGAACATTTTTAGAAATAAGTAATATAATAAAAAGAGTACTATCCATGTTTCTCTGTTTGCCTTTCCAAGTGCTTTTCATGGTCAGCTTCAGGCTTTCTGCTCTCCTATTTGTGGTTCAACTGAACTTAAACAATAGCAACATTAAAAAAAATAAATGTAGCAAAACAT